CYTYYTTYYTTKAAWKSYTYTTATTTTATTTATTTTTATTTTTTGATGGGAATGTGTTGTCAGCCCAATTTAAGCCATAAGGTTTAATCCTGGTTTGTTACTGCAGTGTTTGAGATCAAACAAAACAACATGACCAACATACATGACAGGTTTAATGATYAGTGGAGATGATAATGATAAAGTTGTAAAGAACTTTATAATTTACCACAAGCAGCTTGTTCTGTCTGCAGGCACACATTCAACACATTCCTTGTTGTTCACTAAGCAGGGGTTTCTTTTCCTCTGATTGTTTTACGCTGAGTCACAGATGTTCCCTTTGAAACATGGGGKTTTTGCTTCACAAGAAAAAAGACTGGTGTGAAAAAATAAGCAAACACAGTAAAGAAAAGAGAAAAAAGCTGTCATCGTCATCGTTCCTGACAACTCTACATAGTTGTCTCTACGGAGAACAGCTTTCTTTACAGCGCTGCATGTTGAACTTATGTAACTGTGGGATTTTGGAGCAACTGGTGCCTGGAATTTATCTGGCCTGGAGGAGCATTCCTCCTGTCCACAAAACAAAACAAAACAAAACAAAAGAACATAGTGAAATTCTTCACATTCCAATGCAGAAGTCACTCAAAAACGTAATGATTGCAGTGTACTGTAACACACACACTCATACAAACATGTAATTCTAACCTTATTAGGACCATTCATTGACTTCCATTCATTTCCAATAAGCTCTACAGCTTAACCCTGACCACCAACCCTGAGGTTAACCTCACAGGTGACCTAAAACCAACTTAAACTCAATTCACACCTTGGTCCTAAGGTCCACATTAGAACTACTGGTCTTGACAGATAACAAAAACAAGGACACACACACACACACACACACACACACATGCCCTCACATCTCTCAGATGTGATGTGAGGAAATGATGCTGCGAGCTTTCACAGGCCACGTTTCCTGCTTTCTGAACCACAAGTGCTGATCGTCCAGACTGGTGATTTTCTGCAAACAAAGATAAATTAGCAAAATTAGTTTCATAGAAGTCATGTGGGACTACTCAGTGGTGAAAGCAGTCTTCAAGTGTTTTATTCATTCATTGAGAATCTCCAAAGTTGTGCAACAACTGTGGTCTGGCTGGGAAATGTCCTCTGTTTCACAGAAAACAGTGCTGCAGTCCCAGGAAACAGGAAATTTCTTTTTTCACAAATGCATAAATCCTGTTTGACCCTGGGCTTGTTAAAAAAGGACAAAACATTTTTTTAAATAACTCCCACTTCCTGCAGAATTAAAGGAAGTGACACAACAGGTTCTATGTTGCCTGTAGAGTGACACAGCAGAGAGAGAGAGAGAGAGAAAACACCTCCAGCTAAAAACGAAACTGCCTCTGGACTTCACAGAGGAGCAGTTCTGTGAGGTGAAAACAAGGAGAACTAGTTTTGTAACGGTCCTCATGTAAATATATATATAAATAATAGAATAATTTTTCAAGATAACAGAAATCCAGATTCTGAAGCAAAGTGGTAAGTAAAACTCAAATGTCTAAATTGATCTTTACTTGTATTGTTTATTGTTTTACTGCTCAGATTATATTATTTTTTTTAATATAAAAAATGTCAGAATTTTAGAGCAAAGCACCAAATTTAAACTATGATCTTAAAGAACATTGTAAAAAATAATAGAAGTGGGAAATCTTTTGAATCTAAGATGTAGCGTAAATCAAATACGAATATTCATTTGGTAATTTTATTTTTTTCTGTAACACTGAGAGGGAAGCAAAGTTGGATCAAACACCTAMAACTTAATGAAAATATGGTCCAAATTGATTTTGACTGTTCAGACAACTTGTGTTGACAAATCATGGAATATCACATAAATCAAATAAGAAATATATTTTCTCTGAGAAAAACAAAATGTTTAAAAAGGTTCATAAACAGTTTTTCTGGGTGTAAGCTCGAGTTTTAGTTATGTTTCATTCAACTGACTGGATTTATGCCAATAAAAGCAAACTGTGATGAACAATGAAAGCTTTCAATGTTTCTCTTCTGACCACTGAATCAGGCAGCCGAACATGAAAAAGTGCAGAATCTGTGTCTTCAGTCAAATAAGAGGTTTTCTCTGTMGGACATGGGGCTGGCTGCTGAACTGAGAATCATGCAGTGAGTGAAGTTTTCCCTTTGTGCCCAAACTGAGGGGTGAAAATAAAAATGTTGGATTTGAACCAGCAGAGTTGTTTCAGGGTTGAATCTTTCTCAGCACTGATTACTAAAAAACGAACAGAGAAAGGCTTTTGGAAGGTTTTTTTTCCTGGTCTTGTTTGACTTGACGAAATGCCTAAAGGTAAACATTAACATTTAGCCACACAATTTAAGTTTTCAATTTTATATTTAGAATAACACATTTAGGTTTAGAATTTAACATTTAGATGTRACATYTAATACAAATGARCAGATTGTAAGAACAACGAGCTAAATAAAAATAAAATGTTCGTGGGAACCTTTAAAACTAGGATTTTACACTCAGAAAGTGAGCTAAATAATGAAAATGTGTTGWTGACATTTTATTTTACACTTRTMGCCCACTTWGTCTTGTCTTTCGGAATAAAGTTACAAAGAGCAAACTATACAAGCTGCTTGTGAAATATTCTTTGTAGCAAGAAATTCTTTAGTTACACAAATCATTTGAGGAACTGACTCACATTAGAAGTTTTCAATTATTCCCAACTATTGCTACTCAAAGGGAAACAAGATGTTTGATGACCTTTATGATAAAAGTTGAAAAGTTCAAGTTCCTCTCTGAGACATCCGTTTACTGGGAATTAAACCCCCAACCAGGTCATAATGTGGACGACCAATCATCGAGCCACCCGATGTTTAGTGGATTCTTTGTGGTCTTTCTTTAATGCAGGCATGTTTGTGTGTCTTTTTTATTGTTCATGGTCTTTTGGTGCGCTTGTGTTTATTTATTTTTGTGGTCTTTTGGGGTATAGTTTCAGGTTTGTTCAGAAAAGAAGGAAACARTCACATTAAATGATGGCATTCAGTTTAAAAAGGGGGTCTCGTAGGCTGTTGACATTGTTTCTATTTATGTTTTTGCTTTTTACTGAAGTTCAATCTTCATTAATCCATTCATCATGACTAAAATGTTTTGTATCTTTAATATTCTTCTCATCRTTGACTAAATACTTGAGCTGAACATTCATTCATTTTAAAAGAAACCCTCCCTGTGTGTTTTTTCTTTTTTCCAACCCCCTCTTTAACTATTTTCTTCATCTTTTTGTCAGCTTATTTGTCACAGCCCTCTTCAGAATAATGGCTGCATTATCTTCAACATTCTCTGAAACCAAACGTTCACATGGTTCGTCTGCTGCACTCTGCTGCTGTGACCAACAAATCAAAAATAATTCCAACCCCTCTATTCATATACATTAAATTTAGTTTTATAAATTTCATGACTTAGAACTTTATGTTTGYTAAAATTTTATATTTTGAGAAACAATGTGATTTTTTTTCCCCTGAGTTTGTTTTTGTTCAGTAACTGGAATGTCTGTGTCATGGGGTACTTCTTTAAACAAACTTCTCTGAGTATGAAAAGAAAATTATCCCAAAAMTCATCAGAATTTAGTTTGTTCTCCTCAGTAAAATACACGTCTTCTTTGAGACATTATAATGAATTTTACTGACCAGATGCAAAACAGCTGAAATAAAAGAATCTGAGGGTGACGTGACTCTGTGCATGTGATTCTAGGTGTACGTGCTCCGAKGCAGGAGCTGTGGTTAAAAAACAAAGTCTGCTGTTTAATGTTTAAAAAAGCAACAGTGAAGCTCTGTCACAGTATGGTTTTGCATCCTTCTTTAAGTGCTTCCTCCTTCCTCTTTTTTTGAAAAATGGCTTTSTTTAGTTGGATGTGATTGTTTGACGGGACCTGAGGATCAAGTTTGGCTTGTCTCTGGATCTTCATACTGGGATTACTCCCTACCTTCATGGTAATCCCATGCTGCTCAGGACATGTTGTGACRTTATTACAAAATCTGTGCATGTGTGTTCATGTCTTTGTATTGGTGTGTGGACATATTTTGATATTACACTACACTTTTGAGGACATTTTGTTGTTGTGCAGAACTTTATTGAGTTTAGTACTAAGCACTACACATTTTTTTAATTCCARRAGATTCTAAWATGTTTTGGTAATCAATTTGAGTGRTGACCTATTTTTATAATTAAATTGTGATAATGTTTAGTAAAYACACTCCTAAACACAACACATATGTAATTGATCACYAGCTTGCAGGAAGTTTGTCTGAGGATCTCACTGGGTAGGGAGATGAGACGGCCCTCATCGGTGTAGTATTCAGAGCGTGGGATCAGATTTTGTATCTTGTATTTCCTGGTTCTTGGCCAAACCTGTGGCCAAAATAAATGGTTGTGGATTTGGCCCAGCCGCTGGGTATTGTACGGATTTGTTTTTTTATATTTAAATTCAAGACTTAATCCTGTATTTGCTTTCTTGTTCTAAACTCATATCAGAGTAACTGAACACGCTATTTATTATTTTATAGTCATGTGGACATTTATATGGTCCACACAATGGAAAACCCCATTTGTGGGTCAGGGTTGGGGTTAAATTAGTATAAAGAGATGAATGTATGTGTGAGTGCTCTTGTTTTTGCTACTTGGTGAGGACAATTTTTCAGGAAAATGCAGCCTTGTGGGGACTGAATGCTCCTTGTCTGGTCCAAAGCCCGGTCCCCACAACTTTGGAGGCTGATTTTGGGTGGGGGGTGGGGGGTTAGGTCAGGACTAATGTGTTGTATTTGTTTAGGTTAGTTTTAGGGTCAGCTAGATACCTATGAGGTTATTTTTAGGGTAAATGGTCAGAAATAGGATATAAAAAATTCCAAAAAAAAAGGGTGGAGGTCAATGGAAAGCCCCCACAAGGATAGAGAGACATAGCAGGTGTGTGTGTGTGTGTGTGTGTGTGTGTGTGTGTGTGTGTGTGTGTGTGTGTGTGTGT